AACGGCCTCCATTTTATGATTAGGCCACCGCTTTTCGATTTCTTTATGTGTTTTTAATTTTTTTCATAAAAGGTCGTATTCTTATGTTTCCGGAGTCGTAGATATTGAAAATGAACTTCATTTTAAGATTACGCCACAGAGTTTCGATTGATTTAAGTTTTTCGAATTTTTTTCATATAAGGGTGTATTCTGATGTTTCCGGAGCCGTAGATTTTGAAAACAACCTCCATTTTAAGATTAGACCACCGCGTTCCGATTTCTTTGAGTGTTTCAAAATTTTTTCATAAAAGGGTGCATTCTTATGTTTCCGGAACCGTAGATTTTGAAAATCACCTCCATTTTAAGATTACGTCACTGCGTTTCGACTTATTCAAGTTTTTCGAATTTATAGAATTTAAAGATCTACTTTTATGATGTCGGAGCCTTAGTTTTTAAAACGAGTTACATTTCAAGATTAGGCCACTATGTTTCGGTTTTTTTAAGTGTTTTTGATTTTTCCTTCGAATAAATAACAAAATACGAAGGATTAATTTATTTTTTAATAAATAAATAAAAATATCTAATCGAAAGAAATAAAATATGCATTGTCTCATTTTTAATTTAATTTTAGTTATCTTTTTTAATGTTGTGGTCTCCTGTCACAAAATTATAAGATTTCGAACAATTTGCTGAAAAATCTGAATACAGTAGGTTAAATTTATTACCAGTTGCTTTTCGGCTTTTTAATTTGTATTCTGTGGTTAATTTAACTTTAAATTCATAATATTTATTTATTTATTTATTCATACTCGAAAACATATTAATGAAACTTTGTATTGAAAAAAACCAAAATGAAGCCTAATTAATCGAGATGCAGTGGCTTAATCATAAAATGGAGATTAAATATTAGATAAAATTAAATATTAAAGATTAGAAAAATTTCAATACGTCTCCGAATATAACATATAAGTAACATATAAATAATATAAACATATATATAGAAACATATAAGTAGGTCCTTATACCGAAAAAGTAAAAAAAAAAATACTTTTATAATCCAAAATACAATGACATAAACTTGAAATGGGGTCATTTACAAAATGGGGGAAATCTACTGCTCCAGAAACATAAAAGTAGACCTTTATATTTGATAACAGTGGCGTAATCATAAAATAGAGGTCATTTTCAGAATCTACGGTTCCGAAAACATAAAAGTAGACCTTTAAATTGGATAAATTTGAAAAACTTAAATAAGTCAAAATGCAATGGCATAATCATGAAATGGAGGTAATGTTCAAAATCTACGGCGCTGGAAACATAAAAGTAGACCTTTAAATTGGATAAATTTGAAAAACTTAAATAAGTTAACACGCTGAGGAGTAATCATAAAATGGAGGTCATTTTCAAAATCTACGGCTCAAGAAACATAAGAATACACCCTTACATCGAATAAATAAAAAAAAACTTAAATAAGTCGAAACGCAGTGGCGTAATCTTAAAACGGAGGCCATTTTCAAAATGTACGGCTATGAAAACATAAGAATACACCCTCATATGAAAAAAATCCGAAAAACTCAAATAAGTCGAAGCGTGGTGGCATAATCTTAAAATGGAGGTCGTTTCCAAAATCTACGGCTCTGGAAACATAAAAGAAAACCTTTATATTGGATAAATTCTAAAAACTTAAATAAGTCAAAACACAGTGGCGTAAACATAAAATGAATGTCATTTGCAAAATTTACGGATCGGAAAACATAAATATACACCCTTATATCGAATAAATCAAAAAAACTTAAATAATTCGAAACGTAGTCACGTAATCTTAAAATGGAGGTTATTTTCAAAAACTACTCATACGATAACAGACCCACACATCGAAAAATAAAAGATAATTAAATAAATAAAAATGGGTTGAATTTGAAATGGAAAAGGTTTAATTTGAAATGGAAAAGGTTTAATTTGAAGTGGAAAAGGTTGAATTTGACTTGGGAAAAGTTTAATGATTTGGAAAAGGTTTAATTTGACTTGGAAAAGGTTGAAATTGACTCGGAAATGCTATATGTAAGTATATTACATATATATCTTTTTTTTTTTTTTTTTCTTTTTTTTTAGTAAAATGGATAAATAAAAAGCAAACACCCGAAGGGTGTTTTTAGAATATTTTTAGATTCTGATCTGATTAGTTACATTTAGTTGCAACAGCACGTTAAATTTATCTTGTCGTGAAATGTCGATAAGAAAACTCTTCAAAATCATAAAAAGTTTGAAAATATGTATTCATATCTTCCCTATTATTTTATCGCTCGTATCATTAATTTATTCTATCTACACCAGCCTGTTTAGGAACCAAGACACGCCTACAAGATCCCAGGTGTTACTGTACGACACCCGATCCTCCATAATGTCCTGAAGTAACGGATACCAAAAGACGTCCGGGAAACTACCGATCTCTGGGCCTCGAAGTCAATCACATCCTTTCCCAATCAAATAAATACAGAAACCTTCTCATTTCAGATAGCATCATTGGCACTTCTTTTATTTGTTCTCTTAGCTTGGCTTAGGAACGAGTGTTTTTTTTTCTCCCTTATAAATTTATTTTAATTTTTAATTTTTTTTTCTCATCACTTAGGTTTACTAATAATGTATCGAACTGACTAAAATTTTTGTTTACATTCAAATGAGTTATTTATTATATCAATGCATTTTTCCTTATTAAAACAATTTGGGGTCAAATAATGAGATTATTATTTTATCTGATTTATTATATTTATTTTATTATTATTTATCAATTTCCTCAACTAGTACTCCTTAAATCAGTAAATCATAAATATAAAGCTAGAATATAAATGTCAATTGTTCTATTCCCTCCTCTAGATATCAACTCTTTCATAACATTCATAGAAAATATATACCGCAATGAAATTTTGAAAAGAAATGCTGTCAGGCTTATACTACAGCACTAGCGGATCCAGTATTTAATTTTTGGGGGGGCTTCAGCCCAAAAGATTTTTTTTCATAAATAACGATAATTACTTTGGAAAAAAAGAAAGAAACTAACTACCTGTATGATATGGCGTTTAAGTGATTCCTAAAACCCTTTTAAATGTAATTACACCAACAATAATACTTTGAGAGATAATTTTTTTATATTTTTTTCGAAAAATTATGGTTATATTTTACCATTTTGGGGGGGAGGAGGGGCTTCAGCCGGAAAGCCCTTCAGTAGGGCTTCAGCCCCCTGTAGATCCGCCCGTGTACTACAGTGGACAAAAAGAGTGGCAGACTATGGGTAGCCCATTTCGGATGTATAGAACTAGAGAGCAGCAGCAGTACACTGAAATAATGAAATAATATGTGGCTGATGCTACAGGAGACACTAACTCACAAGTGCATACATATAGCTTTTATGTATACATTATATAATGATAATTATTAGAAAGAAAAAAGAAGAAACTAACAATCTTAAGTGCTGTCATTTTTAAATAGTTAGTTAGATATTAAATGTTGTTTAAGTGATTCTTGAAGTCCTATTAAAAATGCAATTACACGAACCATAATACTTTTAGAGATTTATTTTTTCACAAGACATGGTTGTATGTTATACCTGCATTATATGCATTCAGTGCCAGCCTCCGAGGGTTGATCTTCAGGGACGCTTTCCACTTTTTAGAAATTTAAAAAATAAATACAAAACCTATTAAAATAATTAATTTTAACCTATCAGTAAAGGAACTGTATTAGAGAAATGTTGAATTAAATAAAATTCAAATATTAAATAATATAAAACAGCTTAAGAAATAAATTTAATTTTTTTATGAGGAAGATGACGTCATTGCCCGGGGGCACCAAATGTACAAGGCCGGCACTTTATGTATTATTATTATTGTTTAATTCTAAATAAATAGATCACTCACAATAATAAAATAATTTTTCCATTTTTGGACTGGAGAGGAAGGGCTTCAGCCAGAAATCTTCTCCTTCCCTCTCCCTCCCCATGTAGATCCGTCTGTGCTGTGCCAAAAATAACTTCCAGATTTAAACCAATGTAAAATTTCAGCTTGTTTCATAATTTAAACTAATGGTAGAACATAGGTAGAAAACCAAAAAAGGATCAAAAACGCTAAAAAAAGCAGTGGGAATGCTTAACTCTATACTCTGGAGCAACAATATTTTAATAAAAACAAAAAAGCTAACATACAAACTTTCGGTAGAAATCTTAATGCTGTATAGTTCGGAGACATGGCCCCTCTGTATGACCCAGAGAAAAAAATTCCTTTCAGTTGAAATGGACTTTTGTAGGAGAGCAGCTAGGATATCGAGGATCGAACTGGTAAGAAACACCGCTATAAGGGAGAGATTGGGATTAAAATAAAATATCCTAGAGGTGATGGAAAAAAGGAGATTTAGATGGTATGGCCATGTGAGACGAATAAGTGACGATAGGATACCAAAGATAATTATGGATTGCGAAGCAGAGGGTAAAAGAAGGAGAGGAAAACCTATTAGATGGAAGGATAGAATGGTTGAGAGTATGGCTGGTACGGGACTGTTGGAGAAGAATGCAATGGACCGGCAGAGATGGAGAGACTTGCAGAGGAACGAGTTTGGTTGAGGAAAGCTATATATTGCAGAAATTCATAAGGAAAAAATAAAAAAATTCAGCTAGTATCAGTTTCATATAACTTTATCCTCAATTCAATTTTTACTCGACTTTACAGTCAGTAGTGAGTCGTGACTGTCATCTTATCATATTTATAATGTTGAGTTGCCACCTTCATCAAATCCATCAATCCTTTTCCCTGCAGTCAATTTTTCACATTGTTCCTCATTTATTGATATCACATAGTCCTTAATTCTATTTTATTCTATTCCTACAGTGTTATTTACAGTACAATCTTGGTTATTGGGACTTATGGTAATTCAAGTTTGAGCTACTCCAATCAAAATTAGTGTTATAATAATGAAAAACATCACAATATCATTTAATATAATTTGTTTGTCATTACATATTTCGTTTGTTTGTTTTATACACTTACCAATGTACAAATGATTATTTTCAATTTCATAAATAAAAAGTTTACTATATTTTTTATCAAATTTGAAAACATATATTTTATAAAATATTTTTATTTATTTGCTGTAAAGTAAAAACGTTCTTTTTATCCAAACATTTGGTTATATGAACTGAATCTCGCAATCAATAGTTTGGATAACCAATATGATGGATGAACCTAAATTAAATTATATGGTTTTATGGTTTTATTACCTAGCTTATATGGTTTTAAATAAATAAAAACCTGTTATAAAATTAAGTATATATGTTTATTCACAGATTTTTTTTTTTCTTGTAGACATGACTATTAAGTCAAGCTGAATAACTGGCTCTAAATTGCACACCGGCTTTAGGACCCAGCATTTTCACTTGAATAGATTCAAGAAATTTTGCTAAGTCAAATCTAATTCTTGAGGGTATTTCCATAGAAGGCAAAATGTCAAGAGATCTGCAATGTTGATAGATTACAAACATATATCTGTGGAGGCCTGTTTCTTTAGGTGGTTGTGGTCCAACATATGCTATAACAACAAAAAATAAAATTTATTTTCCAAATGATTTTTTGTGAAATGTAATATATCAAATATCTTTATATGTCTAAACCATTTATGGCGTTCGGTACTTTGGATGATAGTCCCGCAAAACTTTATCCATTTTGCTTTCAATCACTAAATAACAACAATTAGGACTGATCAGAATGGTGGGTGTTGTAGCAACTCAACATAGCTGAGCAGCTGTACAGCTTTATTGTACTTCTATCTACAGTTAATTAATAATTTCAAACAATTTAAAAGATTCAACAAAACTGATTATAATTGGGCAGTTCACTGCTACCTACACACTGTTTCATTTTCCATTAGTGTCTCAGAAGACAACAAATGTCTTTTTCTCTGATTGATGAAATCGATAACAGAATAAAAGCAGGAGCGATTAGAATACTTGATTAAATAAAAGATTAGTCAAAGTAAACAACTATACTTGCGTTGTTTACATCGGGGTCGAACAAGGATTGAAATGGAGATTTAAATGCAGCAATGAATTAATGCATAAAGACCTTTTTAGCAACCTAGTATTTGTATGTTTTAATATCTGGGGTGCTTAAATAAATGATAAAAGGAACCTTTTCTTACTTACGTGCAATGGTCATTGATCTCATGAAGTTTCCTTCTTTTAGATCTTCTCCCTGTCACATAAATATTTTATAGAACAAAAAATAACATATCTTCATTTACATAATATTTCTTTTGATGTGACTTTAAACTATATAATAATTTCATTTGAATTACAGATGTAAACACTTATTAATTTTTTAATGTATATGGCTAAAATAATTTGGTTAAACAAAATTATGAATGTAACATCAGCTAGGCATTTGCACTTAACATAATATTTGTTTTGTTTTTTCAGTAGTTGTTTGTGATGGCAAGTGGTAAATTAAAAAATGAAACATGGATATACTCATTAGTGTATATGTCATAGTTATTATGTGAAATGTCCCAGGCTGGTAGAACTTATTTCAACAAAGAATTTGTAAAGTTGTACTTCTGAAATGGTTCTTATTATTTTTTGTGACGAACTAAAATAGATAAGATACATAATATTTTTACCTTCACATTTGCTTGAAGCATGTGGAGATAATAAGTTCCATTGGGATGATCAGGAGCATCAGGGTCTAGGATAAACACACTATACGTACGGCCCTATAATAAAATGACATTTATGGATTATAAATACATAATTAGAAAAGTTGAATTTTTCCTGCCAGGTGCCTTTCAAAATTTGAATATTTTATATTTCAGTGTGATACATTTTTATATACAATAACAGAAATTCTCAGCTTTTGAAAAACATTTGAAACAAAGCTCACCTCAATGTTTCTTCCTTTGACTTCAAATTTATTTTGTGTGAGTTTAGTTTTCTAAATATAAACTGTAGTTTTCAACTTCAATCAAATCCTTTTCATATAAATAAAAATTATTAAAACTTCACTAGAAAATTGATGATTAGTTGATAACACAAGACATTAGCACTCTGCATTTTATTTTATATTTATCTTAATATTCCATATCTCCCAATTTCAAAAAAAGAAATATTCATTTTCCAAATCTATTGATGTTATCACACATCAGTTGTTATTACTACATAGTGACTCTTTATATCACATTCAAATATCAATACTTCCTTGATTGGTTTCTCTCCAAATGTATAGGTATCACCATACATTGTATTTTTATATACTCCTTGAATATTATATAACAACAAACAGAACTCTGTACAGCTTCTTATCATTCAAGTTTTGAATTTTATTATTTTTTTCATATTTCTTCATCCTTTTTGTCAAAATTCTCTCTAATTCCTTACAAAATAATCTTTTTTCTAATTCAAATTCTTCAAATTTACTTTTTTTCTACAACTCTAGCATCTCAGTTCTCAATCCTATACTACTACTAATGTCATACATACTCTCTTAATCATTCATATTATGATCATTTTGAAGAGAATTTTATCAGAGAATAATAATAAGATTATACTTCAACCATTCAATCATTCATTGATAATAGTTCATTCATAATTCTTGATGAGGAATCAAACAAACTTCTGACAATATCATAATATACATGATATGACTATTACTCTTTTAACAATATAATACATTGAGTATATTTAACTACTGCTTGAATGGGAAATTATTTATAAAATTGGAAAACATCCTACAATATAGACAGAGAATAATTAATTCCTCATTGTTGAAAAATGGTCATTTTGGCACACAATAGAAGATAAACGATTGTCAAATTGCTACGTAACTTCTATTCTTAGCTGAACACTGAAATCCATTTAAACTTGTTCGATCTTATCAAACTCTGATTATGCTCTAGGCATATATATTATAAAAATTTTCTTTTCCATATAATCATATTTATTTTCTTTTGTCTTACCTTTAAGATTATTTACCCATGATCAGAAACAATTTAAAACTGTTAATGTTCTAAAATCCATCTTATTTTTTATGCAGCATGTTAGAAACATTTTTTCTTACTTTTTAAATTAAATTTAAAATAAATACAAATATACTTAGATGTATGTTTTCAATTGTCACAATTACTGGGTTTACCCTGAACACAGTAATCGTGACAATGGACAATAAGTACAGGTATTTATACAAGTACAATGCAGGTATTTATTTTATATTTAATTTTTAAAAAATAAGGATAAATGTTTCTGACATGCTGTATAAAAAAAATAAGATTAATGGAAGACCATTAATAGTTTTAAATTGTCTCTGACGATGGGTGGGTAACCCGACACATAAGACAGCAGGAAATACAGATGATTAAATAGAAGAGAAAAAATTCAGAAGATATATTTACCTAGAACCGATAAAACTCTTCCTTACTAAATAAACTGATATATCAAATAATATATCTGATTATGCTTTATTATTTATAACCTCACTTAACAGACAGTTTATATGCTTTTAAAAATAGAATGGCCATTGTCATTTTTATAATTTATAATGACTTCCTTCCTTTAATTTGTAATATAATAGGGCAGGAAAAATAATAATTATAAAGCTCATGCATGTGCTCAAAGTGGCTTTGAGAAAACTTAATTGAGCCCATTGATCATAATGTGCATAAATTACCACAAAAAATAAATGACAGATGGTTGTAACAATACTGGGTTACAATTACGGAGCTATTCCATTTTCCTGTAGCCACTCTCCACTAGTTATTGTTATTAATACTTTTTGAACCTATTTATATTGTATTTTTAACCATTTATATATTTGTAACATAATTATACATTTTCAATTATTCATCAATCAATTTATAAATATTTATGATTTTAAGATATATTATATATTTTACTATATATATCATTGGTTTGTTAAGTTATAAAAACATTTTTAAGCTTTCCATTCAATTTCCATGGAAATTCTGTTCAGTTTCTATTGAAATATTTATTTCCTATTCAATAATATTAAACCAGTAGTGGCGTAGCTAAGGTTGCAAGTGTTTTCTTGTATTCGTCTTCCACTCTACTTCTCTCTTCTCTTAAAAAATACCAACTTTATCATTTTGTGAGGGTATTTAATCACCTAACATATTGCAAAGCCTCTCCTAAACATGCTTAATAGTGCACAATTATTCAATAAAACTGTTTTAAGTAGGATATATTTTTAAATTGGATATCAAACTTTTTTTTTAAAGAAGTTTTATTTAATATTTTAATAAATTAAAATATGATATAAAATTAACTAGAATGAGAACACAACAGTAAGTTAAACATATAATTCTTTCAATCATTTTTTTTTTTTCGTTTAAAATATATTTTGTATAGTTTATATTGGAGTAATGTTTAGGTAATTCAATAAAATATTTTTTAAGTTATCGCTTCCTATTCAACAAAAAACATGACTCGCTTAAAAAAATACAAATATTAAATTTCTGACATTGCTGCTAGAAATTGGCAAATTGTTTATATGAACTTTTTTGTAGTTATTAATGTTAACCTTTTAAATATTTCCCTCTATTTACGGGTCACTCTGTATATACGATTAAATGGTTATGAATACATATGTGTAATATATCATTGGAAGGATAGAAATTTAGAAAAATTAATAAGTATCTAACATATGAAGCTGCAGAAGATAATGGAAAATGATGAAAAAGTTATTTTCATATTGAAATAAAATGGAATTTTCTAAATAGATGGAAATGTTTAACAAACCAAAAATATATAATTCATTGAACTTTCATTCAGGAATTGTTTAAAAATTACTTTATTTTACGCGAATTACATGCCAATGAAAATATTTCAAGCAGTGCTCATGGGTTTGAAAAAACGTTTGGTAATAACATTTAATAAATAGGTACACCACTGGTAAACGATATTATGTCCATTTTTTTCCTTAAATAATTTAATAACTAAGAAACAAATTGTATCAGTCAAAGCTATGGGAAATTGGCTACCTTGGACAAATACAAAAATGGACATGGTTTTCTTTACCTCCGAAGCACAGAAATTTAATTTAATAATCCTTTATTTAATTCTGAAAATAGATTGAAAAATTAAATATTGAGCAAAAATGTAATCATTTGAGTAAGTTATACGGTGAAAGTGATGTGCACGCAACACTAGATTTTTACTTTCACTATATATGTAATATATAGTAAGGGAAAGTATTGCGATCATGGAATTTTTTAAATCTGAGTTATCAACGAAAATACACGTTTTGAGGTCCCCTGAGTCCAAATAACCTAGTCCCGCAAAATGGTCTGTGTGTGTGAGTGTATGTTATCACTAGCTCAAAAACGAAAAGTCCTACGAAAGTTAAATTGCGTTTGGTGACAGTGTTCCTGCAAAAGTACCATAATGTAGGATGCAACATGTCCCTTAAAATCCATTTTCTCCACCGCCATCTAGACTTTTTCCCTCTTAGTTGTGGATCTGTTAGTGATGAACATGGAGAAAGATTCCATCAGGAAATTTCTGTTATGGAACAAAGATATCACAGCCATTGGAATGAAGCAATACTTGTGGATTACATTTGGTTTTTGTGTAGGGATGCTCTGAAACTCTCTTACAAGAGCTGAAGGACGACATTGAAGCCATCACATAATCCATCTGGGAGGTATTCTTCCAGTAATTTAGAACTCTTAGAATGTAACTAAAATTTTGAAAAATCAAATGCACTTTCAATTTGGTTAGCATATATAATTAAAATATATCTTTTTCTCTTAACCCGTTAGTATGAAATACTTTCACCTATTGTATATCAGAGAAACTATAGCTGTGAAAAAATTTTTAATGTAGTTTTCGTTTTTCTCAACCCAAAATTAGTAGGAATTGTCTCATGAAGTGCTGGAAACATTCAAAAATTCGTTTTTTGTTGCCCAGTGTTATTAGCGTTAAGAAACTATACGAGTGCCTTCATATCACAGACAGACATCTGTCATTTTCAGAAAGTGGAGACAAATTCAATTTTTGTTTTATAGGTTCAACTCAGTCATTTTCAGAAAGTGGAGACAAATTCAATTTTTGTTTTATAGATTCAACTCAAACTGTTTCTGATGATTTTATTTAGGAATGTTCTAGTTAAATTATAACAAAATTATCATCAGAATTGGTTTCAATTTAAACTATGTTAGAAAAAATGACTTTTTCTCAACTTTTTAAAAATGACAGATGTCAATCTTTAATAAGAAGCCACTCATGTATTTCTTATATTTACAGAAAATAAAAAAAATCTAATATGTTACCTTCACCGCATCGGAATAAACAATCGTGGGCCTCCTTTGCCAATCATTCTTGTCGAGAATCTCGTCACAGTTGTCCTTGGACACTTTGACTTCATACGTGGAAGTGACCTGTATACTGCCTCCGAAATCGCAGGCGGAACTCCAAGCCGCCAGAGGGGCCTGGAAGCATTTCCCAAGCGGCGCTAATGCTAGCATGATCGTTATCGAGCCCAGAAGAAGTGCCATCGCGATCAAGAATTGCCTTTTGGGATTTATGTCAGCGTGCTCCGTCGAAGTCTGCAATCAGGGAAGGGTTTTAAATGACTGATGACTCGGGAGGGGGAAATCCACCTTCCGTTAGAGTGGTACAACAAATATGTATTTAATATAATATTATAAATAATTGATGTAATCGGCCTCTTGGGGTCAACAAATTGCACCGGAAACATTTAAGCGGATGATTGTTAAATTTAATCACTTATATACACGAAGCGTAGAAATTCATAGCTAGACAAATCTTTTTTCCTATTTTCGATCAATTCAATCTTCCATAATCAGTGCCAATAAAATTACAGAATTTACTTGGCATTCTAAATTTCATATTAGGATTTCATAGTAAATCAATGCCAATAATAATTTATAAACTTAGTTCTTTTAACTTTCAATAACATTCAACTGATATAATTTTTATAATTTATACTTTAGTTTTTTATTGAGGTCTACTACTAAGATAAAAATTTAATTTGATAAGCTTGCACTCTTGATGTTTGGTAATGTTTTCGGCATTTGAGCCAATGTTGCGCTTTGGACTTTAGAAAGGTCCATTTTGAAATAACAATAAGTTTATTTGTTTTTTGCTCTTACAATAGCGAATGTAGGGAAGTTTTGTATTCATGCAGGATAGTACTACATCGTTACTTCCAAAATAATGTTTTATCCTTGATGGACAGTTCTTTTCATTCGTCGAAATACCGCACAAATTCCTTCGTTAAAAATAAATAAATATTTTATCGATCAGGTCATCCACTTACGATGAAACCTAACACTTCAGCAGATTACGGTCTTTGTAGAATTCTTTAATAGCGACCTTTCCCTTCGGATGTGTAACACGTGTTTCCCGAATCCTTCGGTCTGTCCCTTTCAATGTTCAATGGTAACCGCGTCATATCTGCAGTTGAATTGTCTAATCCTTTAATATAATCGATATTGTAGTTATATGAGCCTTTCTCGTAACTTACGCACTGTCTGTAAAGACCAATAAAATGTCCTTACCCAAAAATGTTGAAATTGGATTTAGTCATTCTGTGTCAACTGAAAGGCTCTTATGCACTGATGGTAAGGACCCAACGAATCACATTATTAGCTATTATTTTCGTAAGTTCTACCTGCTGTACAAATAACCGAGCGAGTGGTTTATGGTCCGTTTTAGGAATGAAATAGTTGCCGAATAATATTGGTTCTCGTTCTTACACTTTTTTTTTAAATTTATTTAATGAATAATAATACAATCAGCCACTGCTGGAGGGCTATAAGTATTAGGGCTAAGAGTTCTCATTCAAAAACTGTATACAAATAATACAGAAATAAATATAAATATAAAAAGTAAATAAATAATACTGATGAAGAAAGTAAATAAAAAAAATAAAAAAAGTAAACAATAACATAAAATAGAAACTTCTAAACATAATCATACCTATATACAATATATACATTCGCCCAGCCTGTTTTTTCCCTCACATGTGGAAGGGAAAGCAAGACTCCAGGAGATCCCAGTGCCACTTTTCCAGCCGCATCACTAGTATTAGAAGCCAGTGGAGACTGAAAGAGGGCACTAGAGCCACAGACGCTCAGGACATGAGTGGAGAAGCTGGCCATTGCCAGGACTCCAGAGGCATATTTACAAGAGATCTCTGGGCCACCTATAACCTATGGTTATCGAGGGAATCAAGAGGGAAAGTAAAACCATTCAAAGACCACTGTCAGAACCTCAGACATCTCGGGAGTTTCCATGCATTAAAGAACAACCGCTATTAGCCGATGCCCTTCTTGAGACCACGGAGAATGAAAGTTTCCAGGAAGTAAAGAAAAAGCAAAGAAGGAAAAAGGCTCTTCTACAAGTGGGCAAAGATATCGAGGCCTCTAAACCTATAGCAGAGGAAAGTTTGACTAAGAAAAGGTCTACACATCAGACTTCGATGGCCGATATTGTTAAAGGGCTTCCATTAAAACCGATGGATACTACAAGACCAACTTATGTTACCATCGCTTCTCAAGGTAAAAGTGCAGTTGACATCATCAACAACCTGCCTTCTCCAACTGAACTAGGAGTCAAGGCGAGAGTTGTACGGGCTACCAAAGCTGGCTCAGTTTTAGTTTGTGTAGATGAAGGTGACCATGCGAAAAAAATAATTGAATGGCAAAAATTAAAAGAAGTTGGGATGGAGGCAAAACTAGCCTTAAAAAGAAAACCAAAAGTGGAGGTAAAAGGAGTTCCCCTTTCATGGACTGCGGAAAATCTAGAAAGGGTGCTATGGGAAAGGTTGGCTGCGAAATCGGCCGCTATTTCTGAGAACAAATTAGGCAATATAAAGCCATTGTTCTCATCAATGGCTAGAAATAAAATTACCAATAATAGGGTGTTAGAAGTACATCCAATGGTAAGGTATAATCTACTCAAGGAGGAGATAATTACAGGAGGTTGGTGGTCACTGACAATCTTAGATTACCCCGATGCTCCTCCCTGCCTAAGGTGTCAGGGATATGGACATACAAAAGCTACTTGTGAGGCAAATGACATAGTATGCAAGTGGTGTGCGGCGAGTGGGCATATTGCTAAAAACTGTCCTGCAAAAGGAAATAAGACCGCACCTACATGCGTTAACTGCTTGAGGGAATGTGTTCAAACAAGTAAGGCTAAACACCAGGCAGGAAGTCGAGAATGCCCGGTGCACATCAAGAGATCTCAAGAATTAGTGAGGAGAACTCACTATGATTAGACTCAACATCCTGCAGTTGAATATGGGCCGCCGGCATATTGTGGCTGACGAGCTTCGGGCTATGGCACAACGCTACGATATCATGGCGGTCCAGGAACCTAGCTGCCGTGGAAACAGGGTTACGGGGTTTGGCCTCACGTCAAGGGTTATAGGCCCAGGGCTGCAATAGTGATTAATAATCCTAACCTTGACGTGATGGATCTGAGGCAACACACCATGGCGGATTATGCATCTTGCTATGTTAAGTGGGGCAAGATTTCTTTCACATTGGTATCGGCATACCTACCTGTGAATAGTGATGTAGAAGAAAGCATATCCGCTATGGAGGCGATCATTAGAGAGATGAGGAATGTGATCATGTGCTCAGATACCAACTCCTGGAACACGTCCAATATTACTGACAGGCGAGGCGCTAAAATGGGAAATTTCATAGCTAGAAATCACCTTGTTGTGATGAACGAACCCTCTGCCACCCCTACCTTCTCTGGAGGCATGGGGCAGAGTTGGATTGACGTCACGATCGCCACGCCTGCGTTTACGAGGTATATTGCTGATTTGACTCTCAGATCTGATACGAGTTCCGATCACGTTGCGATATCAATTGGCCTGGTAAATGAGCCAGGATGTTCCCACGGTACTGATAAGGGTTTCGTCACTAAAATAAATGACTGCAGTGGCTTCAGGCCCTGCCTGGAAGGAGTGATTGCAGACGAGGAGTGGGAAGCAGCAGAGATGGATGTAGTCGACAATCTGGACTACAAGGTGTCCAGGATTACCAACAACATTCGTGATACTGCCGAACACTCCCTCAAGCACCGGAAGGCGAGGGTTCGACCTGTCCCATGGTGTACGCCAGCCTTAACTGTTCTAAAACGAGACCTCTACAAGGCCCGGCGGTCATATCAGAGGTGCAGATGCGACGAGAGGCGCGCTGTACCTCGCAATGAGTACAAGTCAAAAGCCAGGATATACCGAAACGAGGTTCGCTCACAAAAGCGGAAGTCTTGGGACGATTTCATCATTGAAGAGTCTGTGAAGAATCCCTGGGGTATTCCGTATAGAGTAGCATTGGGTAAGTTGTCCCCGCTGCAGACAATTGCAGCCTTGCGGTATCATAATACTCAGGCAACCACCCTTGAAGAAACTGCCAATGTTTTCATTGAAGCAATATACCTCAGAGATGACCCAACCCAGGACAGCGAAAATGATGATTTTGTGAGACGCACCACGGTATATCCACCTGGTTCAGATTTGTGCCCACCATGGGACATTCACGATCTTCGTATTGCCGTGGATAAGCAGAAGACTAATCGTGCTCCAGGACTTGATGCAATAGATACAGCGATCTTGAGGAATAGTATCACGTATATTGAAGACCGGCTGTTGAGTATTTTCAATGAATGTCTGGATATGGGATACTTTCCCAGAAGATGGAAGATCGCTGATTTGCGACTACTCTACAAGGGAGGAGATAGGGACAAACAACTCCCTAATTCATATAGACCTATATGTCTCCTCCCTGTGATTAGCAAGGTCCTGGAGAACATCATGATGACTAGTTTACGACCTGTTTCCGATAGAGCAAGTCATCCACGACAATATGGATCAACCAGAGGCAGAGGAACCGCTGATGCCCTGCTGAGAGTGCGCAGAGATGTTGAGGAGAGGGCGGAGCGGTATGTCATGTTGCTCCTTTTCGACATATCCTCCGCCTTCGACAGCGTATGGTGGCCTAGCGTGCTCCAGCAGTTGCAGAGGTATGATGCTCCCAGTAACTTATACACACTAGTAAGAAGTTACCTCCAGGACAGAAGTGTGAAGATTAGAGGCAATTACTACGAGGTAGAAGCTTCCATAGAGAGAGGTTGCCCCCAGGGATCGGTGCTTGGTCCTGCTCTATGGAAGCTCGTCTTTGATGAGTTACTGGGAGTGTTAGAGAAGGAGCGGTTTCCTGCCACTGCGTACGTTGACGACCTAGCTGCTGTGGTGGCCTCCAACAGCAGAGCTGGAGTCAAGAGAGAAGCAGAGCGATGCGCCGGCTTAGTCGCTAGATGGTGTGAGGGGAAGAAGATGAGGATGGCTGCTGCCAAGACTCAAGCCATCCTCCTTAAGGGAAAGACTGATAGGGCACACCCTATAACGATGTACATAGAAGGCCAGAGGATACGTCCAAGTGAGGTGGTAACCTACCTAGGGGTTAGGTTAGGTGTAGGCCTCAATATGACGCCTCATTTGGAATATCTGGCAGGTAGGGTGGCCCTAGCAATGAACGGTCTAAGTCGTGTGGGGGGCGCATTTTGG